AGAATTCATAAAGTTCTTCAGTGCTTAGTTGCAACGTCTTGGGGGGCTACTGTATGGATAATATGACAATTTAAATGTCCGCAGCGGGGGGATTTCTGCATGTTTATTCATTTGTTCTTTCGTAAAACAGCCATGATGAATTCAAACAGTTGATGAAGATGGAGGGATTTCTTCTTCACCTTCAACTGTTTGCTCCTGCTTCTTGTCACGTATGCTTTACATTTGGAACTAATAACGTTTGCAAGAAACATGGGTAATATTTCTACTGTTCTTAAGATTTTGTAGGCAAAATAAGAAATAATTGTTTTGACAAGGGAGAAGATGCCAGCGGAGGAATATGTTCGTTGTCATGTCTATGTGCTGTGGAGGGAACAAATAAGGAGCCAGTGCGGACTGCATTATTGAAGAGATTCAAAGAGAGACTTAGGGAACGTGTGCAAGGTAAAGGCGTTGAAGCACTTATTGGGTAAACAAAAATAATACAAACATACATTCACACAGGCATGCACATGTTGAAGGAAAGGAACACACATGACCAATTTAAACAAGCAGGGTGGCAAATGGAGTCATTTGTTTAGAAAGTGGAAAGCACTAACTGTAATTAAATCTAGCATTAATAATAACTAACACAGAAAAAACAATGTTTAAGAATTCAATAATGAACAGATGGAGCACAAAACATGCAGGTTTTTTAGTTCACCTCAAGGGGCCATTTAAAATAAGACTAGATAAGATATACTTTATTGATCCCAATTTCGGATATGTATTAATGGCTTTCTATTCTATTCTCCGCCTCTTGGTGGCCAGGTGACGTGCATGCTCTCATGCCACTCAAAAGCTCAATTCCTTGTTCTCTAAGCTCGTGCTGCAAACTAGCTAAGTTTTGAACGATGAAAATGGTCACGCCAAATATGAATGCAGAGGATGTTTTGGACGAGGATACAAGTTATTCAAAGCCAGAATATACTGGCGAAATTGAGCGGAGAGTGGCCCTAGGCTGCGGTTTTGCAAACGGATATGGCTGGCACTAAGCCTACAGGCATCAGGAACTCGTTCACAAACCTCCTGGAACATGTAGGCAGCGTCAGCACGGCTCCACAAGCAGGAGAAATCGGCTTTTTCACTTCAATATAGCACGCAGTGGGGAATGCATTGCTTCAATTGACTCCATTTACCATTAACACTGATTGAACATCCACATAAATGGTGGCACATTGATTAAAAAAATAACAGTTTTTGTTCAAAGTTAGACTGACTATCTATGACTGAAACATGTTCTTGCATCTATATTTCTGATTTAATTATGCCTTTTGCTTTTCAATTAAATGACAAAATGGACTCAGCAATTCTCATTTTCCTTCTTCCAAAAAGGGAAATTTGGGATCAACAGTGGTGCCAGAGAATAATTGAGGGAGCCATTAAGAACATGAGGAATGTCATCAGCAGATTTTTGTAAATATGGCGTTAGAGAGATACAAAAAAAACAAGTAAGTTTGCCACTGAAATGATAAGGAAACATCCTCTGGGGACAATGAATATCCACATCATGGCCACCTGGCAGTAACCATGAATGGCTATCTGGTCAGTGGTTGTCAAGATGTCCTGCTCGGGACCTAATGAGCCTAAAAGCCACCTTTCAAGGACTTTCTGACACTAAACCCAAGATAGCTTCTTATACATTTGAGGCGAGGGATTTCGTTGCTTAGTTTGACTAATGAGGAGTCAGACAGACAAGTTCACACAGAATGAAAAAAAGAATAGTGGGAACTCCTATTAGCATTTCATTATGCCTGGCTCTTGGTTTATTTCTTTTTGGCATTGTAATGAAGAATGTGTACACGCATATGCACACACCCACACACACATTTGACACATTTCTCTGAGTTCCTCCTAATTAAATGCAGCAAAGCAAACGACTGGCTCCAGTTAAAACCCATGAACAGATGACTGATGGTGTAACAGCAAGGGACAGCGACATTAGGAGAGGGAGGAAAATAAGAGGAGATGAGACGGGTAAAGATGGGGGTGGGGACGAAAAAAAAAAAAAAAAACATCACGGTAGTAACCATAGAAATAGATACTCTCCCCCGATCTGGGCTCTCATCCTTTTCCTTGTCTCATCTGCTCATGCTTTTTATTTCCTCTGTTGCTGCTGCTGCTGTCTTGATCCGCAGTCTCCAGGAACATTAACCTGCTAGAGCACTGCCATGGGGGCTACAGCAATGAAACCCACCCTCTTGCGTTATTATCAGAGGTTAAGAAGCCAAACACCATTAGGGATAATTGCAGTCCCAAACCCATGCTATAAAAGTCAGGAGCCCATTATGCTGCACAGTAACAGAGAAAGCTCAATAACAGCAGCGAGGAGGGTGGGAGTGTGCCGATGTCTGGGGTTCCACCTCTCAGCAAACCTCATTGACACACTCAGCCGCATACCAATCAGTGCCGATGGCGAGATAAAGCCAGCTCCTCGGGTCCTCTCAATTGATGTATGTATGTATGTATTGGAACAACTATGTGCACTCACAAAGCACAAAAACAGGAATCAGATACGGAGCGCAGCGGAGAAAAAGGGGGTTCCCCACCTCCCTCGTTCCTGGTCTGACACAGCATATGGCCAAACCCATTTTGGCCTCAACGGGCACAATACTAATGATGGGGACACAACACCGACTGCACAGGGCACCACACTAGATGACCTGACACAAGGCTACCTGGAATTTGGAGCCGTGGGAATGAGGGGTCTATTGGCAGAGCAGCAGCCAAATGTAGCGTGGGGTCTTTAACCAACAAAGGTGTGTTAGAGAGGTGTATGCAGGGGGTCTCTGCGTGACTACAGGAAAAAAGGGGGGTCGTCTTTGGAAAATAAGCCAAACAATGCCAGTAAACATGGAGCACTTACTCAGTTTTGGCCAATGTTGTCAACGCTCTGCTGAAGAACCAGCCTAGAAAGGGCAGATCCTGGCCCTGGAAGCCCGCTGGCAGAGCTCCTTGCTGGGCTGCTGAGGCTGGCCGGGGGGCTGCCTGCTCCGGCTCCTCAAAATTAGAGGTGTCATCTTCAGCGTGCAACGCAGGAACGAAAGGCGGGAGAACTGCAGGAGAAAGGGATTGAGTGAGAGAGGGCAAGGAAAAAAGGAAGCAGCGACAAACAGAGCGGTAAAAAAAAAATGTACAAAATAAATAAAACACAACAAGGAGAAAGGGAAGAGAAAGGAAGGGAGGAGGAACGGAGCAGAGCTGTGGAGCCTAGAGTGCGGTAAGTCGCGCGTTGCTGCACATGCTGCCTCTCTGAGCCTCCCTCCCTCCTTCTCCTCTCTCTCTCATTCACACATGCTCACTCACTCTCCCTCACTGCAGCAGAGCAAGCTAATCAGCTGGACCCAAGCTGAAGCATAAAGCTCTCTCTCCCAATTGTAGAAAAACTAAGTATTTTTATGAATAAAATCTTTTTTATATGCAATACTCTTTGGCTTTTTATATTTATTACTTAAAGACAATACATGAAGACAATTTGATTTTTTTTCTCTCTCAAATGAATAAATCTCCTGATCGACACACAGGCAGAAAAAGCTCCTGCATTCAAAAACACTGCGTCCTGAAGATTTTCAACAAACAACTTCATTAACATTCAGTGTTGATATGAATATAAACAGCTCGTAGGGAAGGACCGATATAGCAATGTTTGATAATGGCTACAAAAAAAGACATGAGGTGTCTGCACATCAAAAATAAACATCATCTCCCAAGCAGCTACACGTGTGACCGTGCCTCACTCAAAGGGTGAATGGTATGGGTGTGTTTTCCCACGGCTGGTGAGGTGAAAATGAGAAACTCTTTGTCATTCGCTGCACATGTGATGGCAACAATGACGTTCAACAAACGCACATATATTTACGCCACAGTCTGCAGTCTTAGCACTAAAGACGTGTGCTGCGTCTGTTGAGAAGCAGATGAGTTGCAGATCTTGACTCTGTCTGCCTGGCTTCTTGTCTCGGCCTCCCTCCCTAATCTCCTCAGGAAAGAGCTGGCCTACTGCCAACGGCACACAGAATCTCATTAATTTACTACAGATAACCCCGCTGGCCACGCAGTCGCTGTTTGTTGCAAGCCCACGCATACAGCACACTTATGTGTATTATAAACAACATTAATATCTGACATCTAGTCGTAAATCATCTCTCCAGTAACGTGGATACAGCAACACCAAGCGTTTTCACAGGAAAGAAAGAAGAACACTCTCAAGGGAGAGGAATCTCCTCACCTTGCCGTAAGTGGTTCCAGTCGACACTGGAGAAGAAAGAGTGACAGCGGAGTCCCTGGAAACCCAGTCTCTGTTTGGATCCACAGAGCAAGCTCTGCAGCAGGTCTACAAAGTGCTTACTGGCCCGAGGCTCGTCTGGAAACTTAAGGGAACGCTGGGGGCAAACCATAAGGCCAAAGATTAAGGACACGATGCAGATATGACTTCAGTCCAATCAGACTGCAGTACGATGGGAACGGTTAATAGACAGCAAGCGGTTTCAGGTCAGATAGTGACGATGTCAGCACCGGTTGAGATGAGAGTACCTGAAAGTTGACGATGTTTTGGATTGTCTTGGCAGAAGAGCCCCCAGAGAAAGGCGACCTGGTGTAGATCATCTCATACGCTATGACCCCGAGGGACCACCAGTCACACTCGACTCCATAGGTGCTGTTAGAGCCGCCATTCATGGATGCCAGGACCTCCGGGGAGATGAAGTCCTGGTTCCCAACATTCACTGTGGGAGTTTCAACCTGTAAACAGATCAATAACACACAATGATGTCACCGCTAAGCACACTGAAGTCATAAACAATAAGAGGTGGTAGTGTATTCTTACTTATACTCCAAGGAAGAACATTTCATTGCATTTGATTTATGACGGAGTACCAACTGCTAAAGGCTGGCAGAGTGCCGTTTGATTTAGTGCAACTACAAGACGAGAAGATTTACATTACATAACAAAAAGACCCCTTCTTTCAAATTGGGGAACTTCTACTAAATGTGTAGAGTCCTATGATATTATTATTGTACCCTCTGGTGTTAAGTGTATGAATCAAGCTCTCTTTGGATTTCATAAGGCATTTATTTTTTATTTGTGTAATTGCGTAACAAACAAATAAATATACTGTCCCCAAAAAAAAGTCGGTACATCGAGCGAACTCTGTAATCTACTTACGGTTTTGTTAGCATTGAGCCTGGCAGCTGATCCAAAGTCTGCCAGCTTAATGTGACCGGTCCGATCGATGAGAACATTCTCCGGTTTGACGTCTCTGCCAAGTGGATAGTTAAGAAGGGGTTTGATACAGAGCTGTTTGTTGCCCGAGTACGGTAATATGTTTGCCGCTCTGACGATAATGGAATACATTTGTAAACTTCAGCAATGTTTTTGTATTACATAACGTCATACCGAGTGCTTCAGGTTAAATTACATCGCTACATTGTTCATGTCCTGTTAATGTTTGCCTGAATAATGTGTTCCAGTAAAACAAAAGGCAAACAAAGAATGACATTTAGCAAGGATATAAGAGTATTTCTAGAATGATGGTGTTGGACAAAGGCCTAACACGTGATCATTGAGAGGTTGCTGGGGTTTTACCTGTGGACGTAGCCCAGCTGGTGGACGGCGTGAATGGCTTCTACCAGCTCAGCCAAATAGAACTGAGCCATGGACTCATCAAACTGATCTTCGTATCGGTTAAGCAGGGACATCAGGTCACCGCCTGGCAAATACTCCATCGCCTGAAGACACATGTGTGTGCAGTCAGAAGCTGGCAGTATAAAACAATGGCTGGCAATTTGAATGAATGTGTTAGTTAGATGAGATGAAGAATGAACAGCTATTACACGCTGTTGAAACATTTATGAATGCCTTTAAATAGGTCTATATTTAGAAAGAAAACAAAGCAACAAGTGTAGGTCTACATGCGTTTGAGCTCACATCAAAGCCCTATCAGCTTAAGCTTATACGCCCGTTCTCTGCATTATAGATTCAGTTATGTAACAGGGTACTAAAGAGTGCGGATATATCTGAGATATTTGCAACCTCCTTGTGCATCTCTAATCACAGTTTGTTAACACTCAAAAGCAACATGCCACAACCAAAAACTCATTAAGCATCTTTAATTAAAGTTTGGAAACACAAATCCACCGTGGTTGTGTTTGACTCAAGTCCTCTGTTGTGCCGTGTGCACCCTGAGATGAAGAGCCACCGGTCTGGCTGATATAAGCTATATGGAGGTGGCAGCCATACAGCCACAACAGGCGAGAGCTCCTGGTGCATGAATGGTCGGCAAGTCTGAATGAAGGGGAGCATTCTCCAGTGTTACCTAGCAACAGGGAGACTGGGTGCCTCTCTGACACACGGATAAAGATGGATGCTTTGTATTTCCCTCCATGCTCAGTTAGGGAGCAGGGTAAGACAGAAGGGGGAGGAAAGGAGAGAGAAAGGAGACATGCAGGGGGCATGACGGAAAGGTATAAGGAGAGGGCGAGTGAATGAAAAACAAAAGGGCAGTATGCAGTGGGAGGCTTAGCGAGCCAGGAAAGGGTTGTTTTCCTGCACCATAAGCCAGTGTTACAGGTCATTAGAGAAACTATGGATCCTCTGTGAGGTTAACAGCCATCACGATGCTTACACTGGACAGGCTCTCTGAGCTTCACCGCTGAACATCAGACTGATAGGGGGATATAACATTATGGCAAGAATCCCCCGTTTCCTTAACCAGAGTCAAAGGAGAAGATCCTATTTCTTTATATTTAAGCAAATGAATCCACCGGTGTTTAAGTGGAACACAAAGGCTTTGGAACAACTGTTAGCTCCGCTTGATTTATGTGTTTTTCTCTCTTTTATCCGCAGTTGGGATCATGGGACATTATGATTGTTGTTATTAAGTTACGATTTCGAACAACAACACTAAAGACTGCGGGTCCTTAGAGGTCCTGTCCAGTGGAATTGCCGGCATTGAATAATGTCGTTAATCTGAAGAAAGCCCTGGTGACTCTTAGCTTTACTCGTGGCTCGCCTGCAGGCTAACAAAATAACACAACACAACTTTGAAGTTGCTGCAACATGACTTTTCCCTGTGCTTGCTTCAAAGCATTTATTTGAGATACAAGATGTTCCTTCAGTGCTCACTTCAAGTCCCTTCCTGTAGCAGCTCATGCACTATTCTGACTGATCTCAACTGTTGTATTAGTCACGTTCTAGAAAGCACGGCTGTGGAGGAAAATGGTAATATGACACATTCTAATAAAGGTTTCATGTTCATTGGCTTATATAACATTTTGATATGTTCTGCCCTTTGCATGAAACACATACAAGAATTAAAGACATTACAGTTCAATTTTAAATATTGGAGGTAATATTTGAGTGGGTAATTATTAGGTTGTTGAATGGTGGATTTTACCTTTTAAAGAGATCACACCTTTTCCCTGGTTCTACTTTGTGAATTAAGTAAAGTAACACTTCCTGACAATTTCTCTTTTCGTCTAACTGTGGTTTTAATACAAAATAATAATATTTTTGAAAGTGATAAGATTTAGAGTTAATATGTTGAAAACGCATTTAGAAGTTGACTTTGAAATTACTCTTTGTGTAGAGACACACATAGAAAACAAGACCATGCATATGAATGGTGTACGATAAACACTTTGAATAGAACGTGGTTGGTACTAGGGCTGTTAATCTCGATTATTTGGGTCAATAATTGATATCACGATTATTCGAATCAAAACGATTATCCATTTACTTTGAAAACATCCATTTATTGAAAAAAATAAAAAAAATGTGAACAGTATGTTTTTAACAGTTGATTACCCTGAACTTTAAAGTGGACCTATCATGCTATATTTGAAACATATATTGTAGGGCCATACCTATATAAAACATGTCTGTGAAGTTTTTTTTTCAAAATACCAAACAGATCATGCATTTTAGCCATGTCTCATTTCGCTCTATTTGCTCTTTTCCAGCCCTGTTTTTTCAAGGGCTGATTCATTTTTTGTGGCAGACTACAGCGCCACTTACAGGCATGGCATATGTTCTACGTCTGCCACAAAAAATGAATCAGCCCTTGAAAAAACAGGGCTGGAAAAGAGCAAATAGAGCGAAANCCAACATCATTTTTCGAAGAATTATAAGCAATCGTATCGAAATTGGTCTATGATTATTGTTTGTTTCAATAACTGAAATACTAGTCATACTGTCTACATCCGTCTAGCGTTGACCCGAAAGTTGATTTCTGTGTCGGTACGTTGTTGACGCCTACACATGCCGAGCAATACCGAACGTTAAAAAACTTCAGCGCCTCACCGCAAGACCAAGACCACGAGAGGCAGTCCGTCATGGTGGGGACAGTCTGCTCTGGTATATCTGACACCGGCAAAGAGTTAGCGCTCCTTTGACCGAAGGTTTCGGTTATAAAGTTCCTATGATGCAGGTGCTCACGGTGGCTTCCCTGACAAGGTTAGAGGTCGTATGAACCTTAAGGGTGCTCCAGTGCCAGGAACCAAACCCAATAAAGCTCCGGACGTGTACCATCTGAAACGTAGGAAAGTTTAGTGGGTGTTACGAAACGCGGTGCTTGGTTAAAAGTTTGTGGGAATGCCTCTTACCGCTTTACCGGAAAAAAAGACTTTGTGCTGCGTCGTTGTCGTGTGTAAATTTACATTCATACATCACCGCATCTTGTACACAACCATTTTATACAATGAAACAACGTAAACAATAGTGCGTTTTAACACAAGGCACTTTTCATTTCGTTCAAGTAATTAATCTATCTTTAGCACTCCATAAATAAAAGCCAGTCAAATACAACTTTGGGCAATCTCTCTCACCGGTTTTGGAACATTGGACAAGGTAAGAAGAAACAAAAGAGCTTTTCGGCACCGAACCTTTCATATGAACCGAAGCAAAGACTCCTTCACTGAACTTCGTACGCTGATGGTTTCGGTCATAGGAGCCGCTAAACTCTTTGCCGCGAACCCACAAAAGAGTTCAGCTCATTTCGACGAGGTCTCGGTGATAAAAGCTTCGTATGATGCAGTAGATCACGGCGGCATCATGACAAGGTTACAGGTCGTATGAACCTTTAGATGGTCTCGGGCAGCATGAAACAAAACCTCCTTTTACAGCTCCAAGTGGTACCTACATATTATTCTTGACCTATGTCGCACCCCCGCCCCGGAGTAAGTAAAGGATACTCTCAACGAGGAAACCCGCGTACATATTTTACCGGGTTTGAAAAACTCTCTCGGCTTTTGCAGTGCTAATGGGTCGTACGGACTCTTCATGGGCATACACGCGAGTATCGCTTACGCGTTGAAATTGGTTTTACCGAGCAAGTGGTGTAGTTCGTGCCAGTTAAACGCATGTGCATTGTGGTGGCCGCGCAAGTACTGTCATACCATTACCTACATATAATACACCTAAACATCTTAGGTCCCACTACTTGTAGCGAAAATTCGGTCCTTTCACAAACTTTTTTCCCGAGACGTTTGTGCCATTTTCACAACATTTATCCTCTCTCAAATAGGTCTCCTCCGAGACGCGATGTCCTACCGAGAAGGTGGGTCTGACTTCGGTCTTTTGTCCATGAAGTGGTGAAAATCTTGGTCCTTTCGTCGAACCTAAGAAGATTGCCCGCCGTCAATCGTCGATCGCCGATCGATCAAATAATACGATTAGATTGTAGTTAGCATACATGAATATAATGCGACATTGTCCTAGATCACTATAGGTTCGTTGTCTCCGAAGTAAATCGTACTTTATAATAGAAGAATCCGTTATTCTTCGATGTCCCTGCAATTAGATTTCGTCAGCATTATATATTGAAATAAATTAATGTTGTAAATGCCATGTTCTACATTAGTATGTCGGGTATAGTCATATTATATTATAAAATGATTACTACTTAATGACGTTTGTACACGTTATATAGGTACTATGTCGAGGCGACCCACCGTCATTCCTGCTTACCCAGGCAAGATAAGCGCGAGGTACCCCCATTTCTATCTTGCGCACTCCGACTTGGTATCACCGACTTGTGCATATAACAGACACGGCCCTCGCGACCACACCAAAATACGCGAATAACAGACTACACTTTATAAGAGAGTCCTTATTGCAAATCGCTTGCTTACAAAGATTATTCCCGAGATATGTTCCACAGTTGACCCATCAAATAAATCAATTATTTTTTAGGTTGCTGAACATGTCGTGGTAGAAGGTACATGTTAGTGTACCCTTTTAACACGAAAGGCCCGGACCCGTTGGTTTGCTCTTCACAAATCATGGCGGCAACAACGGTCGTGCTTATAAAAGTAGACTCAGGCCGCGTGAAGGCACCCAACCCGACCGTGTACACATCTGAGGCACCAGAATTCGGGGTTATTACGAAACGCATGCCTGGTAAAGGGAAAAGACGACGCCTATTACATCCGAACCCCGGAGAGTATACTGCGTTGGACGTATAAGACGAAGACACACGACAAGGGTGAGAAACAAAAGCGCTTACGGTCTTCTAAGAACGGAGCGAAGACTACGAGAGACAATGCCGAGCCTCTGTACACGATGCGTGTCTTTCGATTGAGACGCTGAAACTCTTTTGGATAAATTTCCTTCTCTGTAAGTATGGTGCACTACCTGTGCAATCCGAGCACAATCACAAGTTCCTGGGACTGGAACCGGTCCCTTTTTGTCCGTGAACGAACAAATTATAAACAGAACACACAGAAATATA